TTTGACACCGCCACCGCAGTTTGTCCTTCATGAGCCTTCGTAGACAAGATGGCGGCTGCCTGTAGTGGGGACCCGCGACCATGGAGATATAAACAGGTTTTTTTAAGGTAAAAATAATAAAACAAGGTCTTTGTCTGCAATGATTAGACATGGTTTTATTATTGTCATTAGTGATTATCTCAATTTCGGCTAAAAGAATTGACAAAATCCTACAAACTGTGTCTTTAATGTCTGATTAAAGGAGCTATATGCTACATGAAGAAATCCATGTTCATATGATCTGGGGGTTGGAAATCAAAAGTACGATTAATTTTAAAATTACAAGAATTAAAGCAGAAACACTTGTCAAATGTTTATTTTGGTGTAAGCTCCAGTATAACTGCATCCTACATTTCCCATGATGCAAAATGATGTTTATTTGAAGTTGAATTTTCACAATAAGCCTGCAATAGGGCAGTGGGTAGAGTGTTGGACCAGAGAGCGGGAGAGCAGGGTTCAATACTGGCATGGATACCTACAATTTAATTATTTATTTTCATTCATTATGAACATGTTTTCTCATGTACCTCTATTGTTTAGCTTATTAAAGTCTTGTTAAAGCCTATTTGTTCGAGTTTCTGAGGTATTTTGACCGCTGCTGCTCCCTGCTCTGGTAACAGCATGCAGAATGAGGGCAGAGCATAGGAGGTGAAAAAAAAGGAAGAAGCTGCGACCGACTCTGCCTCTGGGTCTCATATGGTTGTACAACGGAGCTTCTGCTATTATTAGCCATGCTAACGTAAACGCTGGCTTTGGAGGGCGGAGTTAATGTCAACAGACTTTTGGAGGGCGTTACCAACAGAGCTCATTAACATAAACAGCTCTTCTGAACTGAAGTCAGAGCAGGCAGAACTAGAAAATGAGAAATTTTATTATCTGAGAATTATTTTGTGCATTAAATTGAATGTGCATGGTCTGGATAGCCCACAGACATACCAGAAAAATTTCTAGGACCCATAATTTGGTCTCCTTTAAGAACTCACAGCAGTTTAATTAAAAACACTATTTCATAAACTTTTATGTTGTGTACATTTTTGCATGACAGGGTATTTACATGAAATTTTATGATTATTTGGAAGCACCTGTAGCGACTGCAGCGGCTAGTTGTAGCAGCCCAGAGCAGAGTGCTAACCTGCATGTTAGGCTTCCTTTAGGCCCAGGCCTCCCTTGCAAAAGAGATCTGAATGGGATTTGTCTGGTTAAATAGAGGTTAAATATTTATTTTTGTATTAAAGCATTTCATTCCAAATTTGCAGCAGTGTAAAGATTTATGGATTATCATCTGCTTTGAAATTTTTGAGATAGACTATTTTTTTGACTTCCTGAACCTGCTCAGACTAACTGTCAGTTTGTCAGTGGGCTCAGAAATAAACTTTTCTCCAAACTGACGTCATTGTTGTTACAAAAAAATCTGACTTCAAAAGATTGTACCTGTTGCTTTAAGCAGCTTGTGCAACACCGTTTTTCGGGCATCGGTGCTCCAAAACAGGTTGCCAGTCCACCACAGGGTCACACAGGGACACACAAAATGAACGACCGTACACTCACTCCCATTTAAGGTCAACAGGAGAAGGTCAGTAATCTCACATGTCTGTTTTTTGGACTGTGGGAGGAAATCGGAGTTCCTAGAGAACACCCACACATAGGGAGAACATAGAAACTCGACACAGAAAGATTTAAACTCCAGATCTTTTTACTATGAGGTAACATCGCTGACAGTTTACACCCAAGCTGAATGCKCTGCCTGGCTGTTAATGCACTAAGTTTTTAGAGTCAAATAAGTAAAGAATCTTTTAAAACTTTCTTACAAAACAGTTTCCCATTTGGACAAACAGTAAATATATAAATGTAAATGTAGTAAAAACACCCAAATATATTCCAACTGACGCAAACACTGCAGTAAAAATTCATCACAATGTGCTTCTTGTAAACAGGTTGCAGTGTAATAACACTACACCCCACAAACAAAAAAAAGATCATAACCAGATGGCTGACACCTTATTTTTACTCTTTGTATTTAGATTTGATCACACTTTTATTTGTTTATTTTTGCGATAATGCTACCAGTAAATACAGTATATGTTACCCTCCCACTGCGTCTGCGCCTCCCTCCTACATGTGGAGTGAAGTGCTTGTCCGAACATAAGTGCCAGCGCCCACCTTCTCCTAGACTTGTTGGTGCCCACACAGGAACAACTGCACCCACGCTGCATACGAGCATTCTGGGTAAACGGTGATAAAATATATTTCCCAGTGCGGCGTTAAAAAAATGGCAAAAATAAATAAATAAATAAAAAGCAAGGCTTTTCAGAAATCTGCTGTCAGACTGTTTTAGGCTGTGCTCATAAAATCTATTTCCACATCTCTTTGGGCCATGTTGAAATTACCCACATCTTTATTTGACTGTGTTTTGTTTTATTTGTGTGAATATTGTGCCGTTTAGTAGTTTATGAGCCTCTTGCCTCTTGCCAAGGTTGTTTATCACTGTGTTCCTTCAACCGAAACACAAAACATGAGCTCAGTACGTTCCAGAGAGAAGTAATAAGGTCTCTGTGTCCATGCTGATGCACTTTTCTATAGTTTCTCCTCTCCTCATTATTCTCTGTTTTTATAGATTTTTTTTTATTTCCCTTTTCTTTTTCAGTTTTATTTCACTATATACTCAACGTTGTGGTTCCCAGCAGAGGTCAAACGCACCATTTGGCGCAGTTCCTCAAACCCAGGAAGTCTAAATTGTGCCTTTGGATTACCATACATCAAAATAAATTCCCTCACCACGCACCACACAGTGCCCTAATCACAGAAGAAAGTCGGGTTTTTATCGGTGGCGCTCACACTTATGGCCATGTCTCTGGTCTGATGCTGAACTGGGCCTGTACTTAGTCTGTCCATTTAAATTTTTTTTTTTTTTTTTTTTCATCAGGCTGTGGGATATTTTACGCAGCCCTTTCGCCTCTTTGGCATTTATAGACAAACGGGGACACTTTAACGTGTTTGTCTGTGTGTGTCTGGTGCGTGTGCTGTCGCTGCTCCTCTTCCTCTTTACTTCTTACTCCATATTTCTGCACCCCCACCCCCCACCTCCTCCAAACTAGCCTTTAGTGGCTGTATGCCTGGTGGCTGCCTCCTAGCCTGAACACTTTCTGTGAGTGAATGAGGTACAGACTGAAAAGAATGAAAAACGTGAAACACGTCATTTCTTAAAGCAGAATAGGTCCTGTCTTTTGAAGTGAAAATCTGCGGGAAGGCAGTGAATCATTAATATCTTACCTGTTGTAGATAGCTCTTGAACAACCTCAATTTGAAGAAATACAGTTTAATTCTGACAGAATAAATGAGCAAACAGTCTAAAATAACAAAAAAAAACAACTTTGGAGCATTTCAGTGTCATTTGCGATGTTTGGATGTGATCGGTGGGATGGTTCAGATAACTTGATTTGTTTGTACTTCCTAAACTCCTTCAACTGAAACATGACAATTTTTTTCTGTATCTGGGTTAGCGTGTCTTTTTGCTTTTTGGGATTTGATTGTCCTCCTACGCTAAGTAATTATTTGTTTTGTTAATCATTTCGGGCCCTGTGATGGACTTGCGACCTGTCCAGGGTGTAACCCCGCCCCTCGCACTGTGACTGCTGGATATGGGCACCAGTGACCCACGCAACCCTGAAAAGGAAGAAGCGTGTACAGAAAATGGATGGATGGATGGATGGATAATCATTTCGGCCAAAACAGCTGTGTAATGTGGTACTGGTGGCAATATAAAAGTAAAATAACAACATTTGGATGAATCACTGTTAAACTGATAAGGTTTTAACTTTAAGATGGCAAAGCCTGCTTCKGATGCAGGTCTGTTTGGTCCAGCCATTATTAGCTCATCAGTCAAAACTGGGCGAACCATCTTGCAAAGTGGAATTCATGCCGTAAACAATTCAAGTGTTTAGCATTTTAAAATCTGACAGTCTCATATTAGAATTATTTTGGTAAAAACATTATGTTCATCAGACCTCACTGCAAGTTCAACACGTGAATAACCACAGGATTCCATGTAAATACCTGTGTAATTAAAAATTGATAGCCCTATAAAGGTTTATAAACTGCTATGAAATTTTGGAGATTTGAGCTTCTTTAAATAGAAGTATTAAAAGTACAACAGTTATTCTCTTTGGTCTTGGCTTTGTTCAAACTAGCTGTTAGCTCGTCAGTCTGGTCTCTAAACTCTGTTTCTTCAAATTGAGATCATTTGAAGAGGAATCTGCAATGGGAAAGATATTAACTGCTCCTAATTTTCACAGAGAACCATGCTTCATTATGTCCAGTACATCCCTTCAAGGCAATAGCATAAATGCCTGACCGTCGGATCATCAGGATGTGATCAGAGGATCAGTTGCTGTGGGTTTTGTAGTGTCCCTCTGCAGTTAGTTACTGTTGTCATCCTGACAGGAGCAGTGAGGAGGTCGCTTGGATTGTTCATTGATGGAGTTTCTGATTTTTCGCTGGGCTCTGAGAACGTTTCAGTTTGTTTTTCATGAGACAATTTGATCCCAGAACCGAACACTTTGCAGTTTCTTGTCAGTAAAACTCATAGAACTTGTTGTGCTGTTTGTCCACAGTGACTGTAGTCGGACCCCCAAGGTATTTCCCAGCTCTCCTCTGTCCTGAAGTGAAACCCCTGGCCACTTAACGTACCCCACTCCTACCTACACCTTCCCCCTCTCCTGTCACCCCCTGAACCCCGGACCTTCAACCCCACCCCATTCAGTTAAACAAAAATGGTACAGCCCCCTGACTGTACACAAAAAGACAAATCGTCTAAGAAGCCTTCTGTATGTTGAAACAATCAACCAATCCACTGATTTCTGTCAACCAAATTCATTTGATTTTTACTTTCAAATTGAAGAAGTCTGACCATTGTTTTATTTTTTTAAGTATTCATTTTAGTAGAGTCAGAGTAAGAATAAGCAGCCATGTTTGATTAAAACCTCGTCTCTGTTCTGCCATCTTTTTTTTATGTTGATCCACTTTTTACCAGGACTCCCATCGCCTGGTTCTCATAAGAAGCTGGGGAAATTCGATTTCAGCGCCCTGTCCTCCCAGACGAGGTCCCCCCGCATGGCCTTCACCCACCACCCACTGCCAATGCTGGCAGGAGTGAGACCAGGTGAGACC